CTACGCAATTATTTACATTCTCCTGTATTTTACCTTATTTGTCCTGATCTCAATATTATAAATTTTCCAAAAAGACAAACGGGAAAGTATTTCTAAAAGATCACATTATCGAAATATGCAAAAAAATCGATCTTTCCGAAATTTTAAATCCTTAAGCTCAATTGTGCCGGTAATTGTAAAAGTGATCTAAATAAATCGAAACATAATGAATTTATCCCATACTTTGTATAATTACATTGTACGGGGTAATTTTATTATTTTACTTAGACCACTTTCATAATTACCGGTACAATTAATTTATTCAGAATGTACGCGTCCTGTGCATTAGATTTACGACCTGTAAAGGATAGCGTATGTCAGACACAATGGCAAAAAGATAATTGTTTGCAGTACATTCGTGCAGCGTGTTACATATACACGCCACACCAACTTGAGAAAAGTTATTACGCTGTTCGCGTGGAGGATTCATTTTCGAAGTAATCGCGTTCAGGTGCAACGCTCGTTGATGAAGCGTCTCTCGATGCACCGCCGAGTCTGCAGTCTGCAGGTCGTCGGCTGCTATCGAGAGCGAGAGAAACGCGAGAGAAGAAAAAGTACCGACGACGAGAGCTCGCCTTGTAGATAGAAGTAAAAAGATCGAACCGACTGAGGTGTTAATAATGCCGCCTCGGAAAACTCGAGCAGTCGTTTCCGTTTCACGGATAGGTAACATACATTTGTGCCGATTGCAAAACGAGATATTTCATAGATTCTAGCTTTACTTATTATTTAAAGTTATTTAATTTCCAGGGCAGAGAGAAACGTTTTAAATTTATTACGCAATCTTGTAATTGAAGAGGTCGATCAAAGAGGTAGATATTATATCTTAACATATCGTTCCCTTATTTTAAAAGTAACATTTTCGAAAATTAATTTTCTGAAAAGGAGAAAACTGTTTTTCAACTTGACAGAAAATTATTACTAATCAGATAATATTAGCGAAAAGAATATGTTCTTAATGTGAGCAAATGTCATTTTTGTTATCTTCATAACTTTTAAAAATTTATCCTTTTTGAATTGTGATTTTTTGAAGTTTAGTCTATTTTTAATGATTGATAATAAATGTTTAGCTATCTCATTCATGGTGATAATTTAAAAATTACCTTTTTTGAAATTGTATAATCACTTGAAGCGATATCGTGAGCTGAAAAAACAAATATTAAAAAATATCATACCTTTTTATTGAACCAAGCAATTTTTAAGAAACGTGAATCATATAATTTTGCATTTTAGACAAATGCATGAAATCAGAGCGCTGCGCGATTTGCATTAGAATTTTACTTTGTAAGTCGATGCGTTAATTGAGACGTAGATCAAAAGCTGTTGTTGCGACGATTTAACCGTCGTTCGCGGGAACGAGTAAATTATCGCGTGGAGCTTATAGACTCCTAGTCGTTCTGGTTGTGCGTAACGCGCGCAATTTGCGACGTTCCGTCCAAATGCAATTCCTCCGCGCGCTAACGACGCGCGTTTTTCTTTCAACTATTGGCGTATTTTTTAACGAGGCTCCAGGCGCGCGTAATTACGTTTCATTTTATCCGTCGAGGGTGCCGACGCGGCCGATCAATTTCATGGCGTGGACTAATGAATCAAATTAATGAACGAAGCCTTATCGTCCACACGGTCTTCGGTAACTGTTGCCCTGTGAATTATGATGCGCCCTTCTCGGCTTCGCTTAACCAACATTACTTCCCCGCCGCATAGTTAAACGTATCAGAGGCTTGACTTTGGTTTTCTTCATTAAGAAAGCTTGCCAAGACTTATCGGCAATTATTCTGCGTGCAATCGGAGTAACATTCAATCGAAGTCATCATGGTTCATTGTTTTTAATATTATTATTATTATTATTTATATTAATTTCATTATTATATGTATAATATTATTTTATTATTATTCATATTGTATTTATGTTATAATTTTCATAAGATTCTCAGTTTTTTATTTGTATTAGACAAATAAAAAAATCACGAATTTGTTTTATGAATAATAAAAGCATGCCTCTGTGATATACGACGGACATCGACAGATTAAATGTTTTTCCCAAATCGATACGGATTCGCTCACCCTCGGACACTGAAATCTCAGACAACTCCTGCCGCAAAGTCCAGATAAGTTGAGGTAAAAAAAAGGGACGAGGATCAGACGCGAAGAGCCGGCCGAGACCTTTCGGTTCTTCCTTCGGAGTCCTGTCTGTCCCTTAATAATACATGGAGATACGTCCTTCGCACGGGCTTTGGGCTTTGGCGAGCTCTTTCGCGACGTACAGAAGGATACGCGGAAACGAAGGATAAGCGGAATGGAACGCGTTTTCCGTTTCCCTCTTAAAAGTCGGCGTTTTATTTGACTCGATTAAATTCGTCGAGTGGAAGGCTTGCGCGTGCTCTCGTTTTCAGACAACTCACGGCAGTCACGGCGGGTTTGATCCTCCCGAGCGGGCACAAAAATGAGAAGAGCGGCAATGGGAGGAATCGACCTGACATTCTCAGGAACCGAGCATCCTCTCCTCCACCTTTTTCCCCTGACCCGTACCGCCATCCCGCCTCTCGTCGACTTCTTCTATCTCTACGGAGAATTGCTTTCTCTCCCATTGTCCCGCCTGCGCGAGCGCTGCTTCTTTTCACATTCTTGAATTCCAGCCGGTCTACCGCGATATCCGCGCGGTTATTCGCCGCCGTTCTCGGCGATGTCGACGACGCGCCCTTCCTCCAGGCGCCCTCAACGACGGACGACGACGTCGAACGTGAAGAAATTGGAAGCGGAGGCTGCGGAGATCGTTTGTCTCGTCCGTCTCTCCTCTCATTCGACGTCACTGCTCTCTATTCCGATTTTCTTTGCCGATCTACACGGAGGAATCTTGTTGAAAAGAGACGGAATGTCGACGGAAAAAAATCGTTCGGTAATTACGCGCGCTCGCTTCACTGCGCCGGCCGCTTGCAATCTATCGCGTACACAATCTGGAAGTTATTAGCGTTGTGAATTCGCCATGTCTAATATCCGCGATATTTAATAGCTTATGGTTTTCTTGTTTTCCTTCCTCCATGCCGGCGTATATGCACGTACGTCGTAAGCGTACGTGCGGTAGCGTAGAATTTACGAGTAGAGATGTTGCGATATATCGCTAGAACACCGTGATTTTTTTTCTTAAATCCCAACGCGATATGTAACTGGATTTTTAATCGCGAAATCGCATGTGATTTAAAATCGCGCTTGCCATTTTACATTGTAGATGTAGCTCGAAATTGCATTTATAATAAAGTATTTATTTATTATATATATAATTTAAATGTCGTGAATATATTATATATTAGATTCCGATTATTAAATACTTATTTGTAACGTTAGACGTAGTTTAAAATTTGTTCCTCTTCATTAAAGATTTTGTAGAATGTGATATTTAATAGCGTAGAATGAAATAGATAGATTAAAAATTATTTATGGACATGTAAATTCCATTTACAGCAAGATATGGAAAATATATGCCATTTTTTCATATTGTATCATAAAAAATATATATTTCTACATAGTTTAATATTTGCTTCCTGTAATTTAACTTAATAATTTCGAGTTATATTAATTTCGATTATATTAATTTTAATTATTGCATAATTATTTAATATTTTGTATAACAGAATATTTGTTCTTTAATTTCTTTAAGTCATGCAAGCAATTTGACTACACGCAAGAACTGATATAACTTTTTATTTCTTGAAATTTTTTCTCTAAAAACGAATTCCGAATTTTATTAGGGATTGTTCATTGCTTTTAAAAAACAGTTAATACTTTTGTAATTGCTGTGTTTTAACAATTAATATTTTTAATCATTTAGTTAGTTGTCGCTGCTTTGAACTTTAAAGATTTTTCATGAAAGATTCATAAAAAATTATCAAAAATTATCAAAGATTTTTAATGCAAACCGGGCAGTTGAATAAATATATAATGCACATATTTCATCGCGATTTTTATATTGTACAAAATATGCGATATATCACGCTCACTGCGATTTTTAGGAAAGATTGCAGTTGCATTGCACAATTTTGAAAATCACACATCTCTATTTATGAGACACATATTTGCGGCAAAACATGCCAATGATAACTTGCATATTCGTCATTAATAATAATTCACACACACACTCGCGAGCGCGAACTGAAAAAAGTCCAGTTATAGCTACCAAATATTGAGTAAAATAGTTTCAACTAAATATTAAGGTAATATAATTAAATCGAGAACTAAATATAACTTTTACAAATATTTAGTAAGCATTACCAAATGGTATTACCAACGGTAATATTTATAAATATTTGTAAAAATAAAGTTATTTAGTTATATTTCAACATTTACTTGAAACTATTTCACTCAAAATATTTAGCTATAACCAAATTCTTTTTTCCAATACGGAAAGTTATTAAAAAGGAACAAAAACATGTGGAATTTATATGGATTGAAAGGAAGCTGAGCTTGATATTTAACACTTTAATATAAAGAAGAACTGTACAAATGTGATCTCGTGAACTGATATCTCTCGGAACACGACGCGTTCAACTCTTTTTCTTTCGATCTCTTTACTCGACTTTCCATGCGGGTCTGTTTGCGTTCTCTATGTCTTGTCCAAATACCGATTCGTCTAAATACAATTACTCATTTTATTCCGCAAAAGGTGTCTTACAAGAAATAACGATACTGACATCGTCTAAAAATCTAGTTTTTTTTTTTACGAATATACATATTGTTCCGATGCAACGGTTGTTTTAATTATTTTTTTAATTACGATTAAAAATAATTAAAATAAAGCACAAAGCAACGATGAAGCACATTATTGTAATACAGTTGATATTCTATTAAACATTCGTTTTGTTTTCCTACTTCCGTTATGCTCGCGTGTAATTTAATACACCGTATCGTACACCGTAAAATTAATAGCTGATCATTGCATTACACGGCATCATTGATTTCTGTTTCAGGGATCAGCGAAGCAATCGTACAGCTGCAGCAACCGAAATTGCCGTCCACGATCCACGTGGACAACGAGATCGAGCTCCGGTGTCACGTCGACGGTTCCGGCGACATGAAATACGAGTGGTTCAAGTTGGTTGCTTTGTCTGTTTTAACTTTGTCTATTTACCTGAGCGTCTCGTGATAACCGGGGGCAAGGAGAGAGAGAGAGAGAGAAAGAGAGAGAGTAACTAATGCCGGAAAATCTAAGCGGGATGCGCAACACGGGGATGGACCGAAACGAAGAGGGCAAACTACTAAGTTTCTAGCGTAACTGACACCCGACGTTTACAGGACCGGCCTGGTGAATTATGAAGTGGCACTCCCTCGCCCCGACGTACACCACCGAGAGTTTCACCTCCGTCGTCATTTTGAATCATCCCCCTCATTGTAAACCTGCGACGCCTGTTCCCCGTGGAATTCGTCGTGCATTCGGTGGAGTTTAATGATGTCGCAGTTGTGTCACAAAACGAAAATATCACGCGTCGGAAAAACTTTTCCTTCAATATATTTTCGAACCGTCTGTCGCTATTTCTGAATTAAGGGCGAGAACGAAGTCAGTTATCGCGCAAGATTTACGTAACTTAATAGTCTTCCGTAAAAGATAAGATTACAGCACAAACTTTTGCGTTACGCATAATACATGAGGCATAATAAGAGAATCAATCAATCAGAATCCTTTATTTTATGGAAAGGAAGAAAATAACTTTGATCGATTCATTTCTTATTCATTATGCGTTATGCAAGAATCACTTGTTGCAAAAATCGAGCATTTAAATTCAAAAATGGAGACTTGGCTTGTCAGATAAATTTCTATTTGAGACTTGGCTTGTCAGATAAATTTCTGTTTGAATATAGAAATATAATACTAAATATGATACTAGTGAATAATTGACGCAAAATTTCATGCTTTTAAAATAATTTGTATATCTCACGAAGATGATTCGAGTCGGGGATCGACTGTTCGTTTTACAGGAACACAGTGAGCGTGGCGAAAAGCGATCGTGTCGAGATCAAGAAAAAGAAACTGCACATACACAGAGCAATTCCAGAAGACAGCGGCATGTACACCTGTGTGGCCAAGAATGAGGCAGGAGCCTCGCCAGTGACTGACAGCTATCCGTTAATCGTTTCCGGAAATGAGACTGCAACGATTAAGGATGTTCCGAAAAACCTGATTACTAAACGCGGCGAACCGGCTATTTTGCACTGTGTCTTCGAGAACGCCGACGAGGTGCAGTGGTTCTTCAAGGAAATCGGTCCGCTGGAATCCGACGAGGAGCGGACGATCTTCGAGAATGGCACTCTCTTAATACGCGCCGCCGATCTTAGAGACCAGGGATTCTATTCCTGCCATGGAATAAGGGACGAGACCACAGTCAGTTATACGGTCGAATTACAAATTGCCTGTAAGCACAAATCGATTTTCGATAGCCCAACGATAGTAGAATTAAAGCTAAAAGTAGTCAAGAGATAATGAAATAATATAAGAAGAAAAGTAATTAAATAGTAATAGCTAATAAAATACATTTAGATCACAAAAGTCTTAAATGTTTATATGTGTAATACATACGTGTATTAATCTGTTCGAATTATAGTATTTTAATGTAGTATTTTAAACAAATTGATAAATAGTATAATAATTATTGTAATATTAATAATTATTGTAATATTTGGAAGTAAACTTCTTGATAAATGGACGTAAATAAAATTTGCAGATTTGCTGAACTTTTCGGTAGCTGCTTTCGAACCAAAACGTCCAACTCAACTGGCGATTGTCGGTGAGGATCAAGAATTCCAAATAAGTTGCCTAGAGCCCTTAGGGCTTCCTTCGCCCAAAGTTTACTGGAAAGATCCCACGGGACATATTATAAGTGATACCGGTCCCGTACGCGTTCAAGATAACACGCTCATCATCGCGAAGGCACGAATGGGTGAGGACGACGGCAATTATACTTGCGTGGCCGAGAATATGGCCGGTGAAACGGATATATCCGTCCAAATAGTTATATCAAGTAGGTATACAATTTTCTCAACAAAGAATTATAAACAGGCAAGAACTGATGCGATTTTCTATGAATATGATAAATTCTTATCGCGTAACGACTCAGGAAGATTACAAATGTCCTGTCATTTTGATTTCTAGCCCCGCCAAGTATAATAAGCTCCCCAGAGTCGCTCAGTGTGATGGAAGGTGATCCCGTGACACTAACTTGTTCGTATTCCGGCATGGAGCCGCCGATTACGCATGTGCATTGGTTGAAGGACGAAGCGCAGCTGAAGGAATCGGGCGGTCCGACAAGATACCGCGTGACCGATAATCATGGCAATGTTACGCTGCATTTCAAGAGCGTTGACCTGTCTGACAAAGGGCACTACATGTGTCAAGTATTCACCACGGGTTTCCCGTCTCTGTTTTCGAAACCGGCCATTCTCACGGTTGAAGAGAAGCTTAAATTCTCACCACAACCCGTCAATAAACGCCTAGAGCTTGGCTCTACAGCGAAGGTATCGTGTAAGGCCCAGGGTGCCACGAACCCCACGGTAAAATGGGTCAAGGAAGGCGAGGACGAGGAATTTCCCAAACATGTTCAGGATATTAACGGCACTCTACACTTCAACGGCGTATTGGAGGAGGACAAAGGGCGATACACTTGTATCGCCAGCAATGCTCAAGGGTCCATCAATCACACGATTAGCATTGATGTAGTTAGTACGTATCGATGCTTGTACGATGAATGGAACGAACAAGAAATTCATTTAGAATATATTAATTAATAATTAATTTAATGTTCATTTATTTTTCACAGTCGCGCCGAAATTTACGGTACAACCACAAAATCCAACGGAGGCGATTGAGGGATATCCAGTGATGTTGCACTGTGCCGCCGAGGGTGATCCTAAACCGACCATTCAATGGGATAAAGATTCTCGCATGAACAATTTAGATAATCCTCGATTCGAAGTATTAAGTAATGGAAGTTTGTACATTAAAGAAGTATATCTTAGTGACGAGGGGAAATACGGATGTACCGCTGGCAATAGCGGTGGTTTAAAACGAGAGGAAGTTCAATTAAATGTAAAAGGTACTTGATATTATTATAATATGTTATTATAATGCATAATTTCTTAAATGACTATTTTAAATTAATTATAATTTAATGCGATCTATTTTATAATAATAAAATAATTATTATTTTAGCTGGAGATAATTATAGAGCTGATATGGATCTAGAGGCTTCTGATGATGGAACGATGATGACTAAGACTGTAACGATTACTCTTAGCGCAGCCGCGGGCTATATGGTGCTTGTCGTTGGACTCATGTTATATTGTCGCTATCGCCGTCGTCGCAGGAAGCAACAATACCTACAGGAACAAACAGAAGGTATATTGTCAATATTAATGTATGTAATAATTTGATGATGTAGCATGCATATCTAAATTAATGTATATATCTCTGAATTTTAGAAAAAATAGAGAATGGTGATGTACAGGAGGAACAGACAGAATTGAAGGAAACCGGGAATAAAGTAAATTCAACAAATAAGAAGAAGGAAAATCGCGATTCTCATAACAAGAGTGACGGCGCAGATACAGCTCACAGCCAAAGTAGTAATCAGTCTAGGAAATCTAAGTCGAATTATGATAAAATTGCCGCTTCGCGCAGCAATCTAAAGGAATTGAAGCCTCTTGGTCGGGGAGAATTTGGTGAGATTTATTCTACGAAATATCAAGTTGATGGCGATAAGGAATCCTTGGTCATGGTAAAGAGTCTGACAAACACGAAAGACGAGATTGCTCTTCAAGAATTTAAACGGCATTTGGATCTTGTTCATAAACTTAATCACGAGAATGTCGTCAAGTTGATTGGTCTGTGTCGAGAGGAAGAGCCCGACTATATGATTTTGGAGTACACTGATTGGGGCGACTTGAAACAATTCTTGATTGCCTCACGAAAGGATAACAATTCTAGCCCAACGCACGAAACGAAAGTACCACGCGCACCTCAATTGTCAGTGGCGCAAATACTTTCACTATCGAATCAAGCTGCGAAGGGCCTAAAACACTTAGCCGATAATCGATTAGTGCACAAAGATATAGCCGCGCGCAATTGTTTGATCGCCAGCAATTTGACGATCAAGATCTCGCTACCATGCATGACCAAAGAGCCGTACCAACAAGAATATACGAAACATCGGAATCAGATAATTCCGCTGAGATGGCTGCCCTATGAAGCAGTGTACGAGGACGAATACTCTACTAAAAGCGATGTGTATTCATTCTCGTGTTTGGTTTGGGAGATGTTCCACCAGGGCGAGTTGCCATTTAATAAGATGAACGATGAGTCCGTGTTAACACAGCTCAAGGCGCAAACGCTCACGTGGAAACCGCACAAAGCAGCGCCACCGGCTCTTCAAGAGCTGCAAACTCAATGCTGGGCAAACGATCCACGTGAGAGACCGACCTTTGATGAGGTTGTATCGAAAATAGGCGAAATTGTGGTCGATAGTTGCCTGTAGGCTATTATCGCGATCTATTTGTACGAGGCTCTGAATATTGGAAATACTGCAATAAGGGTAATGATTGTGCGGAGCTGTATATCGAGAGGTAAGGCTGACGAGCGCCGATGACTACGCGGTAATGATCTCTCCCATATGAGGAGGAGGGACCCGAGAAAGCCGCGGTTTCGCGCGAGAATAATTAACCGGCTTTCATGTTAAACGCTTCGTATCGATTATATATGCATAATGAATTATAGGAAACCCTACTCTTTTGCAAAAAGAAAATGCTTGCTCATTAATCATTGAATGAGACGAGAATTATATGTCCTAATGACATCGTCGCAAATCGTGATGTATAGATTTTACGCAGAATTTAATATTTCGCATGCGTGTCATTATTTAATCCACGTCATTGCATATAATCAAGTGAATTTCCTCCATCTTCACTTGGAGGAAAGTTTTGATATATTTTATGGATCTCATTTGAGAAATCATTGCATCATATTTTGTGCAATTTTGGATTTTTCTATCGTTCCGCGAATGTTCATTTTCCAAAATCGCACTAGCGAAATCTCCCACAAATCTCCGAATTGTATGATCATTGAACGTTATATCTTGATCTCCTCTACTGCTTCCCTGTTATAGATTATGAAATAGAACGAGATAAAATCATTGGTTCCGCAATAATTATTCATATTACAGTATTTTGTCACGCCCACTAGCTCGGTAAGAAAATCATATTTATTTCGCATCTCCGCTCCAATGACTGTTCTTCTATCGTTGGACTAAGTAATAATCTGTATGGACCCATACACGTTATTATGCAATTAATGCAATATTTAGTATACAGTATCGATATAATAATAAGTATCATCACCACACATCGAATACTCATAAGATACGTTAATTGTTAGGTGAGCCGAAGCCGAAAATTGATAAAAGAAATGTTCAATCGGATCGTACGAAATTACGCGGACGATCTCGACTGAACGTTCGATGATCGGACTCGGCGCTGCAATGACATGCATATTAAGAAAGTATCACGACCATATCAAATGACGAAGAAAATCTTATCTCTGCCTATTTACTTCTACACCGCTAAGACATAAAAAGAAATCTTTTATAACGTATATTATTTATAACGTATATATTTATGTGTGATAAGAACGCAATCGACCACTCGTATTTGACGAAAAAGACGGCCTTGTACATATACCGATGGTATGCAAGTATACATGTAAGTTGTTTTCTTAAAGCGCGAAAGACTAGCATAAATCATCGTGTTAATTTTCATTAATATGATCATTCGAATCGATGGCTTTTTATTAAAGAATTTCGTAAAGAAGTTTCGTACATATTGGTATCAGAGGATGAAAAGATCATGGCGCGTACAGCTAAATGCTGGACACGCGAGGAAAACGATAACGATAAAACGGCATATACAGAATGAAAAACGCTTGAAAAACCTATTTTTACATGCGGAAATTAGAATCGATCGGATCAGAGACGAAGTATCGCTCGCGATATTTTTGCATTCGGGATCTACGATTTGATAAGTAGCGCGAACAATCTATGTATTTGACGCGATGGTCCAATAAGAGGGATGTGCTGAATATATATTCGACTCCGTATCCGATTTATACAACGAATATTAATGTTTATATTTTAACAGTACGTAAGTTTTAACGTCGTCCCTATTTTTGCATTTAATTCTACTGTAAGAGAGATTGTAAAGGAGAAAACTCGCGAGGCAATTATGGTGCGCACAGTCGCTTCTTCCATTTCATTCAAGAACTTCCGTTGATGCTTCGTAAGCCAAGTGTTTGCAGGGTACAGAGAAAGAACCACCGGTAAAGGTAACAGCTTTTAAGTCGTGCGAGATAGACAGCGTTAGAGAAATGCTCATAATGGAAAAATAATCGTATTGCTATAACTTGTTTTACATTGGATATTACGAGTACTTACCGCTTTTAATAATTTTTGAAGAATTAAAGCGCGCATAGAGCCGTACAAAATCAGCCAAATTCAGTTTCGTCGATCGGCAATGCAGTTCAGTAGAGCTTCACGTGTGAGTATATTCTATAATATTCTACATGAAAGTACTTACAGCTTTTGAAACAAAAAAGTAAAGAGTAAATGTCGAAAGATTTGCATTTTAACAGGTATAAAACAATACCTTCGGTAAGAAATATGATTTATTGGATTGTGAATAAAATCAATCGTGCAACTTGTTTAATTTAATATGCAGCAACGAAAAGAACTGAATGCGGAATCGATTGAAAGGAATAGAAAAGAAATAGATCAATGAAACGAGGTTGTTTTAATATATGTTTGATAATTCATTCAAACATTCTCTTTTGAGAATTTCTACTTCTCGGAAAAATTTGATATTTCTTTCGAGGAGTAATTATGAGTGACTCTTCGGCTCTGTGCATGCTAATATAAATATGATGTATCATATACGCATATTAGATATAAAAGCACCGACGTATAACACTGCCAATGATAAATACTGTTCTCTAATTTAACTAAAGCACTCTTGTTATACCGGAAAAAACACGAGGCAATTCGCGAAGGCACTTTGCCTGTGAAAGCATCGTCGTATATTCGTGGACACTCTAATTAAGAATATGTAAAAGCACGAAATATATGAATAATCTTTCAAAGTTACCCGAGCTCGCGGCGTCTCCTACGACTTTTATAATGCTTCCTAAATGTTCGCTATATACGTCAAGAAATATTCTTGTGATCAGTGATGGCGAACGTATTTAGTAATATAAAATCCGTCGCATACTTTTACATTTAATTTGAAGAAAAGACTCGACAGATGCAGAGAGGATTAAAATTGTTCAGGTGGAAAATTAGCTGAGATTGGAAACGTATCCAAAGTACTTTTGCAATTCAACATAATACGTATTCAGTAGTAATACGAATTCGAAGTAATTCAATAGTTTTATTATTGAATAAGGAACCTCCAAAGTTCGCGTTTGAATAATAGGATATTAAGTTACGCGGAAATTATGAAGGTCACATCTATAAAGCACGGAATATAATCTGAGTACGGCCCATCACTGCTTGTAACATAAAATACGCTAGAAATATACGTTACAGCGATCTCTAACCCACAATTACACGTATGTAAAGTTAAGATCAATTATCCAAGTCCTATGTGCTCATATCATTCGCTCAGATATTATCTAATCGTGAACGACCATCACTGCCATAAAGAAGGTACATCAATCGATGTACTGGCGAGTTTTGTGAAGGCTACCTATTATGTCCAATATGTCTAGTCATATACGATGACAAAGTGAACAGCGTACGGGAAGCTCATTTGACGTTCATATCCTTAGGCGTTTCAAATCGATTTCTTTTTTACAGTATTTTGTAAATATTTGTACTTTTTTATCTACGTCGTACTTATGAATTTTTGGAATAGTATGTGCTACGATTAAATAAAGATGAGAAAAAAAATACAATGCGCATCATGATTTCATTGCGATCCATATCCTTATCAGAACCTTATCTCGTACGATAAAATAAAGAACAGATGGTTTATTTTATCTCTTGCGGTTTAACTTTATCTTAAATCTTATTTAATTAATAGTTACATCTATTTTTTATTATAATAAAAGTTATCTTTAAGAAAGAATTATTTAATGAAAGATAAAGAATTATCTATTTGAAATAAAAATTGACTACGTAAAGCGAATAAATTATCCGAGTACACGTAATCGTTAAACCTTTCAATAAATAAAGAGTATTCGAAGAAATACAAGGATATGAAAGGAAAGAAAAAATCAATCTTGCAATTTTGCCATGTGTCTAAGAAATACGTTAAAGATAAAAAGATTTAAAAAAAAAAGGATACATGCTATTGCAGTTGAAATATTTGTGAGTATTAGAGAAAGGAGTGGCGTAATTACCTAATCAAATTTATTTTTACTTAATATTTCATGGTACAGTCTATACCTATTATGATATATAAAATAACGTAGTCGTCGAATGCAAACAGGTTCAACGAAAGCAGAAACGTCGATTGAGTAGCGTCCAGGAAAGAAAGGTGATCGAACGTCCGAAATGAAACGTGTAAATCATCGATGTGAACGCAGTAATGTGAGAAGTGCGTTTAGTCTTTTATGTGTGTTTATATATTTATATGTAAAGTCTAAAAAAGGTGAGGATGAGTCACTTAATTCTTTAGTACTTAATTCATTAATACAGCGTAGCAGCCTCACTCTCTAATAGTACTAAATATAATAATGGTATAATGCGATAATTATATCGTTAATATAGATTATTAACATTATAAATAATATAATCGTCGGAATTCGTATAATAAACAATGATACAAGGTATTTTTGTCGTTTTAGTTTTTTAAATTGTTATCATATAGTAATAATCACAATAGCGTATTCTGAAAAATAGATTAGGGTCCCGTGGGCAGAGGGCGGAGTGCCTCACTTCTTCCGAACAAATTTCTCTCGATTTCGCTTCGCTACTCTTCCCTTTCTCTCTTTTGCTATCCGTCGCGCTTTAAAGTTCTCCACGGGTGCCCGGAACCTAAATTGGACGAGGATCTCAAGAACGATTGCAAGTCTCGACGGGAGCTCGCAAAGCCCGTACAGTAGTTCTTCTCGTCTCGGACGTAGTCCTTTTAATTGCGCCGCAAGGACTCGAAGCAGTCACAAAGAATCGCGCTGGGAATTCAGCGATATTGAACTACGTTTCGCACAACGATCGCCGTTCCTTTTTATGTGACAGTACCAAAAAAGATATCGCATCGCTATTTCATCGCCAGGAGTACACTTATGTAGTTTCAAGTCATTATATGAGTTGTTACAAGATTCGAATGTTCCGAAGACAATCGATTGACGATGAGACTCTCATGGAGTCTTGATAAACGTTTTGTGTCGTTCGACCAAAGGCCATATTTGTCGACGATTTATAACTTCCGCGACTTTCCGACTTTCAATGCGTATCTCGTTGATTGAGAATCCGTACAAATATATCGTCGTATCTTCCAGGTACACTTCGGGTGTATTTTGTAGTAAAACTAAACTGCGCCGCCACCCCTAACTTGTCCCATTCCCTTCCTACCCGACTTTTACATTTCTGTTCTAGCTTTCCTATTTTTTCATTTTTTCATTTTTTTTTTTTTAAACCGCGTCTCTGCCACTCTGCCTAGGGAACCCACTATAACAGGGCACTATGAACAGCAGTCTGCTGGCTAAGTGACTTTCCGAATCTACAATCGTTCCTCCGCATTCTCTCTTCGTTCTCTTTCTCTCTCACTCGATCAGATTTCCCTCTCTCGCCCTGTCACACTCTTCCGCCTAATCCTCCTACACACAAAGAGTTCGCCCCCCGTTTGCTCGATCTTACTTTCTCGTTCTTTCTCCCTTTCTGGCAGCCTCTCTCGTGTTTACTTCTCGACTCCATCCGCGTCGTACGCTTCCCCGCAAACCTGTCGACTCGTTTACTAATAAATCCCGGCTGTGTGCATTTCCATTCTTACCTCGTGCAAGCATGAACTTTTAAACGGAAAACGCAAACGCCGCGTAAGGTCATGCCAAGGATAAAAAAATGCAGCACGTAACGAAAGACAACAATGGTAACGTTGCGCACAATGGTAACATTGCGTAACAGGTGTTGATCAAACGGAAAGAAACACTGTCGCGCAAATGTAAGGAACAAGAAAAGTCGGGTCCGCGAACGCATGTCTATTCAGGTAGTGAGTTGATGTCAAAATGACGTTTAATGTTTATTTTCACATCAACATGACGACAAACGTCAATTTACTACCTGAATGTAAACCATAGTACACTTAAAGACGTAAGCAGGAAATTAATGCTCGGTTTGGCTAAGTCCACAACCTTGTTTTAAGAGACTTTAAAAAATCATAAGTCGTAAATGATTAAATGACAATAATTTCTTTAAACTGTTTTTACGCAGTTTTTAAGCTTTAGATTTAAGTGAATTGAGCAAAACCCAATTCTTACGGCCTAAAAACATAAGTTCTGTAGCCGATATATCGTCACTTTACAACTTACAGCTTACGGCCTCTTAAAGCAAGGTTGCGGACTTAGCCAAACATGTTGAATTTGTTATTGCTTACGTTACGGTCTCTACTATGATTAGTCAGTTCGCTTACTGTTTAAGTTTTTCTGCTTAAGTTGCTTTATGTGCCATCATATGAATCGGAAATCAACCAATGTAACGAGCAAAACAGCGCGAAAAGAAAGCCTTATCTTCATTTTCTCTACCAGCATATCCTGGACAAGCCGATTTAACGCATGCACGTTCTTCCCAAACTCACCCTCTATGTGTCCCGCGAATCGCGCGACGTACCCCGTTCCGTTCCGTCTCGTTCCATCCCATCCCCCATTCAATCCAATCCGTCACAGAAATATCGACAAAAGCTCTCCTTCGCCAGCATGCTTCTCCTATGTCAGCATTCACACTACGTGTCAGCCAATAGTAAACCACTACTGTACCTTTTTCGCGTTTATGATATTTTATACTTTACTTTTTTAATTATTTTTTTTTGTTTTGTTAATATTAGACGTGCCGTGTCTCTACCATCAGCCTACTGCCAAACTATCTATCTCCTCACTTCCGCTTCTTTTTCTCTCTATTTCTCTTTCTCGCTTTCATTCAATTAATCTCTTCTCCTTAAACCATCTCGCTCGTGCCGCCCTTCCTTCTCTCACCTGGTGACTTTCCACTCGTTTCTTCTCTCTCTCTCTCTCTCTCTCTCTCTCTCTCTCTCTCTCTCTCTCTCTCTCTCGCAGTTTATAAATAGTATTGTATTAATATCATCGTCTTTCGTGTGTTACAATATAATAATCGGCAATAATATACCTTCATTATTAATGTAGTATCGTTATTATTAGTATCGCTTTTCCTCGCTCCTTTTTTCCTTTTCCTTCTTAATACACCGGGTAATTTTTCGTTCAAACGCTACCGTGAATCGCGCGAGTGTACGAACGAACGAATGGATGAATCGTCACGCTGCCCTGTGCCACATAGAATGAGTGTCTGCGATCGATTAATGGGTGGTTGCTCCGATTTTCCGATGTCCGGCGTGCTGCGCGCCGATACGGGATGCGATTTTCAAATACACACGGCGGAGACGCACACACAACACACAATCCTGCCCGATTAATTAAGTTGAAGAAACCACCCCAAATTGCGACTCTGGCCTAAAAACGCGCGGCTCTACTACTCGACGAGATCAATGAGCTATCGCTCGTTCATTCATCGATGTCAGAGTACCTCTCATCTTGATTAAAAAAAAAATAACGGAAAGGATGCGGATGTTTCCTTTCGCGTCTAATTGATTGATTAAAACGATCGTCGGCGACACGCTCGTAATGTAGACGAACCGCACGTTCTCGTTCGTCGCGAAATCGCGATCCGCCTCGTTTTCGTGTCGTCGTGCATCGCACGGTGAATACAAAGCATTACGCGAATTTTATACCGGCATCGTAAAGTACGATGCGATTCCTTCATCCGACGAGTGAGACGCAGAATCGGGTGCCGGTTCACCGATGCAACAGCCGATCGGTTCAATTGACGAGTCTTGCACATGTTGCAAATATGTTACGTGTCTGTATGCTGTGTGTGTCTGTGTGTGTGTGTGTGTGTATATCCGCGTGTATGTATATGAGAGCGGTATTTGCAGTGACTTAATTAGAGACCCTTAAACGCTAGAAATCGGTGGTATCGTGGCCTTCCGACTTTAACCGCTATTTTAATGTACAGTCTGCGTCTCTCATCGCCGCTCTCGCGTCGTCCAGGACGATCCGCGCGAGGAGACGCCGGATCCTTACGTCCCACGCAAATGATCGATCTCGCGAACGGCACGACGTGAACGCGTCTGTAACGAGTAATACAAGAGTAATAACATACGATTGGATAACGAGTAGCGTGCGGCGAACGTGTAATCGTGACGCTCGCGAGACTCGAGACGTCGACCTCGTTTCGCCGAACGTTCGCCAGTTGTGTGGAGCATGAATGTCGCATCAGAGCGATACGTTGAATGCACGCGACAGTGAAAAATTCGCACCCTGTCGAATTTGCGGCAAACGAGCGCTCCCCGGCGGATCTCAATTCCGGTCGATGTGAGGCGAACGACAAAAGGTCGTCGAACGACGTTTGATCTTAAACGAAGAGATACTGCGAGGATACGAGGCGAGTAACTTGATTGATCCAAGTGAGTCACACGCAACACGCACATACAGACATACATATATATATATATATATCTATATATGCACTCAACACACACGCATCATGCGTTCGCGGTGCTTTTTCCCACTTGGCACACTCATAAAGAATCTTGTCATCCTCGCCTCTTCGTTTTGTCAACCGCCGAGAGTGACGACGACAATGACGATGGCAACAACAATGGCGACGAACGTGCGCCAGAGTCACATTTGGGCGTATTTTTTTTTTTTTTTGAGAACGGTTACTTTTTTTTTAAGGATACATATGGCCGACTAAATATACA